GCAGATATATATATACAGTACATTGCAAGACTGAGAAATGTTTTTAATAGTAATATCTCCCTTACACAAAATTATAAGCAAGAGTAACTTGTTACATTTACTCAGTTATATATATTTGAGTAACTATTTGATAAAATGTACTTTTAAGAGTTTTTTTCTTTTCTTCTTTAGATTGTTTTTCACTACTTTTGCTTGAGTAAAATTTCTGGGTACTCTACTCACTGAGAGTAACTTCACTGAATGAAGAACCAAAAACAAGCTTGGTGTTTCTTTTTAATAAAAAAAAAAAAACTGTTATAAAACACAGCAGATGACATTGACGGCAACATTTTTAGTATTTGCATCCTTTCTGCAGCAGTGTGAGCTTTTCTCCATGAAATGAATCGGTCTGCAGAGGCTCTGGGACGATGTTTGAGGGGTTGTAATCTTGGCTTGACTAGAAAGCAGCTTCTATGTTCGTCCAGTAAGCAAACAATGAGGTATTGTTGTACCGGATATACCTCAGATACTTGAGGCCAGAAGTCAAAATAGGGAGAAAAGTTCTTTTTGTTGTTGCAGAGGGAAAATACTTGAGTCTATGGACAGATAAGAACCTCATGTGCCTTGTCTTTAACCCTGCACTGCTCCTACTGAGTACCAAGATTTACTGTAGGGTCTATGTTTTGTCTTTATTCTGAAGATTCAATTAGCAGAGTTCATTTTTCGCGGCTGAAGCACAAAATTTGACATTTCCGTTAGTGCAGACAAAAGCCTGACTTCCTGACACCTGTCTGCGAAAGCGTAATGAATGTCCCCAGCTGTCAGCGTCTCTCTTTGTGACGAACAAACAGTCTCGTTTGTTCAGCTTTACAGAGAAACACGGCGGCCTCCTCCGACTTTCAGGCTTTTCAACTTTCAGGAAAAAAGGAGTCCAGCTGAGTTTATTTTGAGAAAAATTCCTCAGCTGAAGGATCTTCAACTTGACCCGTGTGAAACACAACTTCAGAGAGACTGAATTTAGTCCTTCAGTTGCTTTGATTTATTCTTTAACTGTTTATAGTGAAAGTCTTAATTTTAAAATATCCAGACATTAAAAAAAACAAAAAAACTAAATGATCTCACACTCAGTCAAGACAGACAAGAATGTCCTGTGCAGGATGGAAACTGCTTTGTCCACCTTTGAATTGTTGAAATGTCCATATTTTATACCATATATGTAGTTTATTTTTCAGAATCAGAACCACAATAGGAGCCTGTCATCTTCCGAAGCCTTTATACAATCAAATCACGTTGTATTTAAATTTCATTAGGAGTCAGATTTGTGCTGTGTGTGCATAAAAAATGAGGAAGTGGGAGGCCAAAAGAAAAAGAATGGGGGCTAAAAAGTTATCTGCAGCAGATGACAAGTACATGGGAGGTAATTTTTTAAGAAACATGCTTTGGGAATCCAATCCTGTTGATGAAATATTAATGAGTTTCCCAGTGGGAAATCCGACTTCGGAGTACATTCCAGTTGATTTTCCACTAGTTAGAATAGTTGACTGTTGCATTTACAGAGTTGGTTTTTGTGCGTTTTAACTTTAAACTGTTTCATATGTTTGTTTTTATGTATTTTGTATTCTTATTGGGTTTTTTTTTAGATAGATATTCTTTTTTTATTCCCACATTAAAAATCCCCCCCAAAATGGCTCCTTTTGTTGCTTGCTTGTTATACAACAAATCTCTCCTGGTCAAAAATAAAGACTAGACTGAGAATGAATGAAAATACATCAAGGTCTGAAGACAAAATTTGAAAAGGCTTCCAGAAAGCCTAAAGAGTTTGTATAAACCATCTACAGACAATTGATTTTTACCAATTATCCGTGGCTGAACTGCAGTTAGGAAAGTATTATGTTTTTGCATTAAAAATGGCACAAAATCCTCAAATATAGTAACTTTTCTTATTACAATCATCTACGACCAAGATTTTTGGTGCTACATTTCTGTTTTATTTCAAAACAATGAGTCTCATGGCTAAACTTCAGTAAAATGAGGCAAGTTCTAAAAATAAATGTGTGTTTCAATGGTAAATAAGTACTTCAAAGGTAGAACTGAAAGAAGTGCATCCTGTTTATGCTTGTTTTTGCAGTGACTGAATGTACAGCTGTGACTTTCCAGATCAGATCAGAGGAGGGATCAGTTGGGGTGAAGGGTGTGTTTAGGGCTGGACCAGTAAAAACCAGTTTAAATTTAGCTGGAAGAACAGTTCTCAATTATTTGCTGTTTAAAATGAGATTCAAACCAAGTTGTTGATGCATTTGAACTCTGAGTTTGGCTTCTGGAATGTCACAACAAGCATCTGGCAGAAAGTAAATTATGAGCCGACAGAAAAGGATCTGATCTGATTTTCCCCTTCAACATGTTTACCCATACGTTCATCTGAACTTCATTTCATAAAACATGAACACACACACACACACACACACACACACACACACACACACACTCACACACACACACACACACAAAATGTCTACTTCTACCACTTCTGCAGGGGCTGGCACCGAAAGCGTGACTGGAGGAAATATTTGCGATTCCCAAGCAGCAGTTTTCCATGTGAACAGCAGCAGACAGACCATATGGGAGCCAGATCTGTTTGTGTGTTTACTGCAGACTTTTATATTTACAGTGCTGAGCAGCTCCTTCTGAAGCAAACACACAGTTACAGAAAACAAGAGTCGATTCTCACAGAGGTTCTGCAAAAACAATCAGCAGCAGAAATGTATCTTTCCCTCATATTTTGACTGGATTTCTTACTTTTTAATTAAAAATAAAACAGACATTTGGCATGATTATGGTTATTTCCAGCAGTCTAGAAAATCCTGTCTTTTAAAAGGATTTCAGCATTTAAGCAAAAAGGTCACGCTCTAAAAGTCATAAACTGATATTTTCTTATGTCATTTTTATTGTTATAAAATTAGTATTTTTACCAGTAATCACCTATTCTTTATATTTGTAGCAATTTATTTAAAACTCTTCATATTTTATTTGCATTTCATGCTCCAGTTTCTTCCAAAAGCAAAGAATGTCAATATAAGAGCAACATCTGAGTCACTGCGGTTCTCAAACATGAATTTTTGGAATTCATTAAACTCCCGAGTCCCAAAAGACGTTAAGGGTTTCCAACTGTTTCATATTAAACCACAAGATGGAAAATGATGAAAACGGAAGCAGAGCAACGGAAGTCCTTCCACAAGATGCTGCTGCTGCTGGATCGTAAAATTGCTTTATTGCTACCTGGAAGCACCTCGTCCTAGTTAGTTAAAAACACTTTGTTCTCGGGGCGTCACTAAAACTTCAAAGAGTAAAAATAATACAACTTAAGTCTGGGGAGTTCAGATGCTCCTGCGGATTAAGAAAAGTCTTCGATTTCTTTTTAAAGGTGGCGCGTTATGAAAAGTTCACTTTTTCCCCCCGAAGATTAGCCGTTTTAAAATCCAACGGGCGCTACGCCGTTACCTAGCAACTGCAGACGATACCTAGCAACCGAAGCGAAGCTCCGGTGTTCCGCTTAGCTCAGACATGTATACGCTGTTATCATATGATTTTACTTAACCAGCAACATAGAATCATGACGTAGATCATCATACACTTTGTTACAAACAGCTGTATGGCATCCTGACTTAGCGGTTAAGTAGGTTAATGAGTTTTACACGGACGTGTGTTGTAGTTGACTGCAGCTGCAGCCAGACCTGCTTTAAATACACTTTGAAACCACGACAACGCATGTATATCTATCTAGTTATCATATTATATCATATTATGAACAATTTAATGACTTATTTTCGTCATAACTTCTTGCGTAAACTGAACTGACAACACCACTGACGGTCGGACTTCTTAATGCGCATGCGCGGGCATGCGTACTAACTGCATGTATGCTATCCTTACAGCCTATGGCTATCTGATAGAACACCCGGCAGGTTTGGGCAGCTAATTTTTCCGCTCTATGCCTAGAGGGACATTTAATCAATACTTCAACATACTGTTACTCAAGTAAATGTAAAAAGTAGCTCTCCAAGAAATTAAGAGGAAAAAGTATTTGGTAAAAAGTATGCTCAATTACCAAGTAACTGATCAAATTATCAATCATTTAATATTTAAAAATTACATCATCAGATGGATCAAAATATAAAGTTAAGTTAATATAAAGTTTTTGGTATTTTAAGGAAAAAAATGTCAATAATTCAAATAAGTAACAGAAATAACAAAATCAAGCATAAGGACATTTAATTTCTTGACAAAAACTGCGGGTGTGTTTCTGTCTGGTGAATTTTTGGTTGAAACATGTTTGTTCTTCATTCAGTGAGTAGAGTACCCAGAAGAGTAGCGATTCGTCATAATAAAATTATTCAAGTAAAATTAAAAAGTGTAGTAAAAATACTCCTAAAAGTACATTTTCTTAAAAAAGTGATTCAAGTAAATGTAACTGAGTAAATGCAACTTGTTACTACCCAACATTGTGTACGCCTGCACAATGGCTGCTGGATGAGAAATGTTTTGTTGTTGGCTTACCATTCAGAAACCATAGTCTGCAGCAGCTTATTAATTAAACTAAAAGTTGGAATTGTCTTTAAACAACTTAAACTTTACTGCATCAAAGTTGATCTACAAAGCTAAATTAGAACAGGACAAACTGGCTCTAGAATTAAATATTTTGGTTTTACAGATTTTGTCAAGCAATTTTTGACTCCAAAATACAAACACTGCTTAAAAATGTAAAGCTGGTTGTACACAAAAGATTAACAATATGCAAGGTGTAGCTATTAGATACAATACTCAATAATGTCACAATTAGCAGCTATAATTATTTAACTTCTCAATTGGATTAAGTTAAGATGATTTCCAAAATTAAAAAATTAAAGATCAGAAAGGTTGAAAAAATTAAGGAAACTCATGAGATGAGAGAGAAGCCAACGAAAAATTGCTTTCTTTAGTCTGGAATCAACTTTAATAAGTAATTTTAAAAACTACACATCAAGTCAATGTCTTTTTTTCTTTTTATTTAATAAGCTGGTTCATAAATTATCACACATAAAAGATTCTTTTCAGTAGTTACAAAGTGGATATCGACCTTAGCGCTTTAAAAAATAAAATCAATGAGAAGGAAATTGCAGACGGTTGGAAGATTGTGTTGTTTGATGAATCCAACATCCTCTCAGCGGACCAGAGAGGACCGAAAGTTTACGGAAAAACAAAAACATCCAACCCAACCATGTTCCCAAGATGGCCGTCGCCTAGCAGCAGACAAAACCGAGACATGCTGTTTGCATTTCTAAGCACATGCCAGATTCTTGTTCTATGTTCTCCAGTGTGTTCAAAACAGGGGAAAGGTAGAACAGAGAGGGCGGGTTTCAGGATACAACCAGAGAAAAAAAAACGAAAACGAAAAAATAGCACGAGCTACATGTGAGGCTCACAAAACAAACTGAACTAAGGAAGTGGCATCTTCATGGCTCGACTTTGATTCCTCTTCTCTGGATCGAACCGGCTCAAACTTCATCCGGTTGCTCATTAAAATCCATATAACATCTTAAAACTTCTCTTTCTGACAGCTAAAACGTTTGATTCACAAATTTCCATGATGGATTTATTCACCGAGTCTGTCTGGAAGATGGAGAGGAAACTCACCAGTCTAAAACTGGCCTAGCACTAAGCTCACACTCAGCGAGGCCGGACTCTCTTCCCGTGGGCTTGAGGAACGTCTGAACGTCTTTGTGGGCGATACGGGAGCCTACTTGGACATTTGCTGCTGAATGTGCTGCAGAAACTCGTGGTAGGACGACGCCGACTCAGACCGGTCCTCCACCAGGTGCTGGAACAAGGTCGCCTTCGCCGACGCGTCGTCTCTGCCAGAAGAAAAAAAAGTAAGACTGATTCATGCATATTCATACAAAAATACCAGGATTATTGGCACAGTGTTGCAATATTGAACAAAAAGGCTGAAATGAAAAATTTGCAAAATGTGGCCTTTTGTTTATCTGATTAATCATCAGAATAATTGCTAGATTATATTGATTATTAAGAATAATTATTCAGTTAATCGATAATGAAAGTAATTGTTGGTTGCAGCACTACATTTAGTACAAAAAAACAAAGTAACATATACCTGAATTACTGGCATTTTGAATATTTACAATAAAATATTAATGAATTATTTATCATTTACCCGTTTGATCGATCAGAGTGCTTTGATAGGTAATCATGAGTTCCTACTTTGCTCTAGAAAAGGCATGACATAAAACAGAGGCCCAATACCTAAATAATGATGCAAAACATTTAATCAAATCCACAGAGAAATGATTCCCCAGACAGAAAACCGATGTTCATCCATGTGTGATGAAGCCAAATCCTGCAGAAAACCTCAAGTTAAAATACATAGGCCTATTTTGTTGTATAGTTCAACTGTTTCAAGTGTGAAAGAAGAGTGCAAATATTTCTGATACACATGATTTCATGCAAATAATCCATATAATGGGATATTTTTTCTGTCTGTATGGACTGGGAAATATTTCCCCCCTAAATTTATGCTGCAGCAATAAAGATCCTCCTGATTCGATCACACAGCTCGTTATTTTTCTCTACTTTATTTGCTGTTATCTAAAGGGAAAACATACTTTTGCTTCAAAAAGAAGATCTGAGGTGCTTTGAGGTGAATTTTAATGGGCCTCCATCTGTTTTTGGACATTAATTTTAAGGAAATGAATGTCAGCTCTGCTGTCATTTCACATTACCACACAAGCGGCCACTGAAATACCACTCAGCCCATTCGTCCTGACATCAGTGGCGTAAACATGTGGTTGAGTAACAATGCCGCACCGCAAGCAGCTTAGGAAATTGAAACAATGCGTTCCCAGTAGATGCCATTACCACGACTCCCAACCAGTGACCTCACCGTGTTTTTACTCTGGAAATAGTCTCCAGTTGACCTCAAACCCGTCTCTTCTACAAGAAACTGTCTCCACCCGGTTTCTGTTTGCCGTCCTGTTGTTTCATCATAACAATAAAACAAACTGAGGCTGAACATTTCTAACCGAATCCAATTAAAACAACTTTTACAACAAAGCTTCATTATTTACTGTTCATTTTTACTGTTGAGACAAAACCAGCAAAACCAGGTCCTGAAAACATGCATGACAGGTCCAGTTAATCTCTGAAGCAATGGGCAAACAGGCACACAGATGAACAAAGTTGTGCAATGTAATGTTTCACAAGAGCTAGTTCTAATTTCAGTTCACACAGATCAGGACTTATTCGTAGAGAGACAAATTCACACGTCTAATGATTCATTTCATGACATCTACTAAAGTGCTTAATGAAACATGAAGCTAAACTAACTTTAACTAACATTAGTTAAAACATCCTCCGGTAATACTTCTGTTTCTGACATGTTAGTTTTATTTTAAGTCTGTTGGGTTTTGCAAATATAGAAACTTTTCTACATTTTCTGCTTTCAAATCCCAAAGTTCATTATTTTACAGCAATTGTGTGTGACACACTAAACAAGATAGCATATAACTGGGGAGTGGATAAAGAGACGCAAGATTTTAATCCTTTTTCCAAATATAAAATCTGAAAAGTGTGGCATGCATAATTATTCATGATTCCTTTGATTCTGAAAGGTCCAACTGATTCAGAAGTGAATAAGTAAAGAAACTCTCGACTAAATCTGACGGTTTAGTTGAGTCATTGGTTCTGCAGCAAAATACGGCTGCAACCAATGATTACTTTAGTAATCGATTAATTGACCATTCTGATGATTAATCACTTAATCAGATATAAGAAAGGCATGTTGTACAGATTTTTTTATTCAACACATAAGCCTTTTTTATACAATATTAGAAATACTTTAAAAGCTTCAAATAAAGAAATAATTCAATTTCTTAAAAAAAACAGCATTTGTTTTGTACATCTGAAATTTAAACTATTCCACTTGAGTTTTGGGTAAAATACATTTAAGTGTTTTTATCTTAAATGTAAAATGGATATATTGTTTGTA